GGGAGGGAGGAAGGAAGGGAGGGAGGAAGGGAGGGAAAGGGAAGTGGCTAGCTGTGCCAAATGTGGCTCAGAGGTCAAGATGAGGATTAAACAGTATCTGTAGTATAGTGGTATGTGTCAGTTCTGCCCAGCACCCATTTCTAGCTTCCCTTTGCTGACTTAGCCAGGTGTTTTGTTTCATTATTCTCCCTTATCTACCACTCTACGGCCCATGCCATTCTGTGCTCTGGAGAAGATGAAACCCATTCCTCTTGCCCTAGTGATTGATTATCTGAACCACAGCCTCCTAATCATGCCACTATGAGAAAAGCAAGTCAGATCTAAGATGAAACTGGCACTGTAGATGTCAAGGTAGCATCCAGAGATTTAAAACCAAAGGCAGGTTGTTTATGATACTGGTGGGGTTTCACATCAAGTCTGAATTCTACCTGACTACTGGACTTTCCAGTTACTTGAGTCAATAGATACTTTTTGTTGTATAAACCAATTAGATTTGTTTTTCTGGTATTTACAACCACCAGCATTTTTTTTTTGGAGTTGGAGTTGGAGTCTCACTCTGTTGCCCAGACTGGAGTGCAGTGGCTGCTCCCGGCCACTGCAGCCTCGACCTGCCGGGCTCCGGCAATCCTTCCACCTCAACCTTCTGAGTAGCCGGAATTACAGGTGCGCGCTACCACGCCCGGCTGATTTTTGATTTATTGTAGAGATGAGGTCTCACCAAGTTGCCCAGGCGGGTCTCGAACCCACGGGCTCAGGCAATCCACTCACCTCAGTCTCCCAAAGGCGCGGAATTACAGGCTGAGCCACTGAGCCCGGCTCACCAGTATTCTTATTGACTATACTCATTGGATCTATCAAACTGAAGAATAGTGGTATCATTAGCAAGCATAGTTACTTGCAATGGTGGGTGAGAATGCAGAGTGCAGTGGGTTGAAGAGTAACTCAGAGGTGAGGAAGTGTAGACATTTCATTTGGTTGGGAAGAAATGTACATCTCTTAGCATGATATCCACAACCTTCCTATATCTGGCTCTTATCCACTTCCCACCCCCATTTTCCATGATCCTTCCCTTCCTCCCCACATGCTCCATCACAGGTATGTGGATCTTCTACAAAGTTTTCTGTGCTCTATGGTGTGTTGACACTTACTGCTCCCTTTGCCTCTCTTGATCATATAACTAACTATGATGTTGGTATTAGTATTATTATTTATGTCATTTGACAGAGTAGCTTGGCCAGCCTGGCAGTCTGGCTCCTGAGGCTAGGCTCTTGAATATATTCACACTCCAAATAAATGTTTTTGTTAGATGAATAAATGAATGAATAGATGTATAGATGACTAAATGAATAAAAAGATGATTGATATTCTTGCCTTCAATTATCACTTTTATGTTGATGACTCCTGAATGAACCTCTATACTCCTAACTTCCCATTTGAGATTCAGATCTAGGTCTTCACTTGTGGGCAGACCATTCCCATTGGATGCCCAGTGTTACCACACATGCAATGTGGGTACCACAGACTGGATTTTATTGTCTGACTGATGTGAGCTCCATGAATGTAAGAGTGTTTTTTCTTCCTCAGTATAACTCCCATATCTAGAACAGAGTTGTTATGTATTCAAGATTCAATAAATTCCTGCTGAGTGAAATGACTTCACCTTCTCCCTCTTAGCTTTCCTGTTTCGTCAAAAGCAATACATCACTTTAGTCATGGTAACTAGGTAACTAAGAGTGATAACTAAGAGTGGGGATGGGTACAGGGCATTTTCTTTGACTTGTTCCTCTTCATCACACTCTAATCAGCTACCAGGACCTTTGAATTTGTTCCCTACAGACTCTCTCCAGCCTTGTACTCTGCTGTTACTAAGTCCTCTTGCTGGCAGCATTACAGGATGTTTGTCCTCATGTGCCTGGACAGGGGTAGCTGCCTGCTAATTCTCCTCTCTCTTTCTCCAGACTCTGCCCTTCTTCCAGCAAAGGATGGCTCATTTTTTATCATGACACTGGCTTTTAATGTCACTTTTTCTGTTACCTCAGGAATATGACACTTTTCTATTTGCTAAGGGCTAACTATGGCAGTGGTTCTTATTTAGCAGGTAATGTCACTCTTTTGGGAATAAGAATCTCATAAAGGATAGGTGTGAGGGTCTATTTTGGTGAAGTCCAACAGTCAATGTTGATATCCCAGTTTGTGGGAAGGAGTATCACAGAGTTACCCCAACCTAATTGTGGGGAGGAATTGAATTGACTGGTTCACTCTATCAAGCCCAAACAGTTCTGCTTGTTTTCATACACTTCATGGCCTTGAGAAATCTACCTCTTGAACCATCATTACCTTTCCCTCTTCTCTTTGTTGATTTCTCTAGAACCCAAAATATGTGTAAAAAGTATATACTTTTAAAATTATTCAACCCAAGATAAATTGAATTGCCTCTCTCAGAAGGGAGATACTATTATTAATGTCTAATTTCCAAGAAGTCTATTGCACAAAGTTAAAGGAAGGAAAGGGGAAAAGAAGGAAAGAGAAGAAAGAGAGGAGAGCAGGAAGGAAGGGAAGGGGAGAGAGAGGTAGGGAAGGAAGAGAAAGACAAGGGGAGAGAGACAGAGGTAAAATATACACTTGTTTGAGATCTGATATTTAGCATGTAGATGCTGGCACATCTGTGTGGGTTGTTAAAATATTAAAATACTATTATACTAGTTGGTCAATGCTGCTCTGAGCTCTCTGAGTAGCTCCCCTTGTACTGGCCACTTTGGCCCCTCTCTGGACCCCTGTTTTAACAATCAAGCAATTCAAGGGAGACTGTCAGGCACAGAGGGGCTGCAGACCTCTGCTCTAACTCCAGTGCTAGCATCTTGTCCCAATCAATGCTTGCACCTTACCAGTGGTTAAATATTTTGAATAACAACCTTGCATTCACCCACCAGAATCAAGTAGCCCAAGTGTAGAGGAGAGACATACATGCTAGGACCTTAAGTCACTTTACCTTTGATGTGGCAAACTCTTCTGGGATGAGGAGTATGCCTGACTAGAAAGCAGCTTCCATTTCTAGCCATTGCATAACTGCCTTTGCTCTCAAACTGAGGAGCAGATCTCGGGGATTTGAGGTTCCTGTTCATGGCGTGGTCATTTACCCCTCTCCACTGTTGCCGCAAAAGTCTTAGGGCCTATCTTGATTGACCTCACTTCCAAATGTGCTCAAACCCTGAAATCACAGAATGGCAATCCTTCTGACAAAAGTTTCTTGACATTCCCTTATATATCAAATGTTTCTCCAACTTCTTTGCACTGAATTGTTTCTCATGTTAAAACAATGTGAGGTTATTTTTGCTTTCAAGCCAAATTTTTGTAAACATTTAAAACATAAGCATGAGTGGATCATAAAAAAATTTTCACTGGAAAAAATAAAAGTATTTGTGAAAAATGTAAAGTATATTGTTTTGAATTGAATTGAAGCTCACTTTGTTGGCTTATCAACAAAAGACACATTATATGATTATTATCCATTTTTTTTTAGTCACTCTGTTGCCCAGGCTAGTGTGCAGTGGCTCATTCATAGCTAGGCTATTACAACCTTAACCTGCAGAGCTCAGGTAATCCTTATACCTCAGCCTTCCAAGTAGCTAGAACTACAGGCACATACCACCATGCTCAGCTAATTTTCTGATTTATTGTAGAGACAAAGTCTCATCAAGTTGCCTAGGCTGGTCTCGAACCCCTGAGCCCTGACAATCCTCTTGCCTCCACCTTCCAAAGAGCCACTACACCCAGCTAGTAACGATCAATTTTGATATAGTGCATTAAAATGATGGCTTTAATATATAATACCCACAGACATACTTTATATTAAATTAACTTTAAATGCAGGTCTTTCATATTGTACTTCAAAAAAACCCAGCATCTTAAATTTGTATCATTTTCTGCAAGGATGGTAAAGCATAAAGGAGAAAAAAATTCAAAAGAATGATATTACATTTAAAGATGATAACCTGGAGAACCTTTGTCATATTGTTATTTGCAATGTTCTGTAATATTTAATGTTCCTTCAATCATTCTGCAAACATTCATTAGACACCTACTAGACAACTAGTGTCATAGGCCTAGGACATTCAAGAACATGTGATAGATGGCTCTTGAATTCACAACCGTGTCGGAAAGAACATTTCTGGATTAAGAACATAGGAAAGAGTTATTGAAACTTTCTTGAAGATGGTACACAACTCTTGAAATCTAAGAAGGATGTTTCTCTGGTGGCTGTTGTATTTTTCCTCTCTTACATAGAAATCTTATTCAACATAAAAGAATTGGAAAATGTTCATTTTTTTTTTCTAACCATGACAGGGAGGTATTTTTTTGGGTTTTTTTTTTTTTTGTCAGAGTAATTTGCAATGTCAAAATATGTTCATATTCTAGAAATTTATCTCAGAATTTTGTTGAGGTTGATATTTTTAGCTCATTGGCTATCTTTTTAGATCAAAGCAATCTATGCTTAAGTTTTTCATGGTACAGATTGAGAGTATATGGCATATAAGTTACCAGCCCTATTGCCATGGAACATCAGATTTTCAGGAACTCAGTTTGATATACATAAATTCTAAAGTCATTCTAGGTTGGGTAAAATGTATGTAAATATTAAATTCAGAAAATGTCATCTAATAACAAAAAGTGTATTTTCATATTGCACCTTGTGAGTATTGGTGAGGAACTAGAGCTAAACTCTTTGTATAAGTCACACTTTAGACTTACTCATTCTTTTCTTTCTGTGTGCCACCTTTTCTACAATCAAGCCAGTAAATTGGTTTTTAATCTGCACTGGGGAAAAAAGGGTACAGCAGGCAATTTGGAGAGTAAAAATGACATAAAACTACAGTAAAAATGAGATTTATCGCCTCAGCTTTGCCATTAGCCAGCAAAGTGACAAAAGATTAATTGCTTTATTGCCTAGATTTTAGTTTGTTCATCTGTAACCTGATGAGATTGACTTAATTGTCAACTGGAATATTTGGTTATTCTACTCTGTGTGTCTGCCCATATCAATTTCCTTAGATTAGTTTGAAGGGCAGGGATACACTTCAAATTTTGGTGCAAAAGGTAAACAAGAAAACAATACACAGAATTCTTTTCCTCCTCTTATAAAAATAGCAGTGCCTCCCAGAAGCCTAAAACTTTATTTTTATGTTTTAATAAGCTACTACAGCAATTACTCTTGGTTCACACAAAAAATAATCTGATGTTATGACTTTTTATTGCTCAAAAATAACATTTAAAGAGTAAATAAATCCATAAATATGTTATCCACATATATCACTAAAAATTCAACAAAATCTGAAATAAACTTTTTTATAGGCATATAAACTCAGGAGAAATGAAAGGATCGTTCATTCTCATACAAAAGGGTGGATTTATTTTCAAAAGACAAGAGATATATGAAAATAACTTATTTTTTAAATAAGGGATTAATAGAAATGGAAACCAGAAAATAAGTTATTTACCCATTGATAAGTAATATTTGTTAGAGAATCAGAAATGGCATTTATTTTATATTAAAGAGTCTAAACAATTTTCTGAAACCAATATTAGAGATACCCACCAATGCAAAACTGGTCAATATTTATTATAGATGAATTCTATAGGGTGAAACAAAGCTATGGCTACTTCATCAAATGTGCCATGAATTAACCAAGGCCCAATTATGATAAATAATAGGCATACAAAACACACACACACACACACACACACACACACACACACACACACAGAGACAGAGAGACAGAGAGAGAGAAAGCCTACACTTGTTTCTAATATTGTAGGATAATAGTATTTGCCATATAGTGTCACAGTTCTCAACCCACTTTTCCCACCGTGACACACATGACAGATGATGTTCATCTGGAAGATGAATTCCCATCACATGTTTAGATTTTCGAGACTGTATCTGAGAGTTATAGGGAAGCAGTGTACTAAACTACTAATTTAATAATGGTGTGTCAGTGACTGGTTCAGAAGAGCTATATACATAGGTTCTAGCTCTAATTTTTCCAATCAGACAAGTACATGGCATTGTAAATAAATGCAAGAGATAGCGTCAGAGAACGTACCCTTTTCTGTACTAATTTCTTTCAAAAAGTAAACAATTTGCAAAAATCATTTTAACTATGCTTAGTAAATATCTTGGATCTTGCCTCACTATCTATTGTAAAATCTAGACTGAGACCACCTGACTTAAGGGATGCATCCAAGAGATTTTCTGAATGAAGGCAGCTGAGTTATGTGTGTACTTCTATTTCCGTTGTGATGCTAACACTCTGCTTTCACTCTAAAGAAGTAAAGAAAAACCTGTAGATGTTTTTTAAAATGTAATTAAATGTTAAAATTTAATTAAAATTACGTCTGGGAGCAATATTTGCTTTCCTGTAGACTATTGAATTTTATTTGGACTAAATGACACAAAATCCCAAAATAGGTAGTTTAAAAAGCATCATTAATCCACCTAGTTCTAACTCTGACCATTGTTACTTAGAAAATACCATGCAAAATTGTATTAAATAAATTCCTGGTCTGAAATATCATATTTGTAAAATGTATACTTACAAAGAGGGAATATAATATCTGATTAATGAATTGCTGAAGGTTCTCATTAATTCATAGAGATATAAAGATGACTTTTCAGGTGATGAATACCAAATCACTTTGCATTTGCAGATTCCCTAGCCTAGAATGCACACCACTCAGATCTTGGATGCCTGGAACTTCAGGAACCATCTAAGACAAAAGATAACTTCAAAATGGAAGCCAAATATTAATACACCTGGCTTAATCTCTCATGTCATTCATTTATCTATCTAGAGGATGCTTTTTCCAAAATACTCCCTAGAAATTAGTTCCCCACTATCATCCCAACTTCACTCTCTAACCCTTTCTCTCTATAAGCTAGTTTCAGTGTGTAGCTCTCCCTAACATTACTTATTTTACATCTCTTTATTTTTTGCTACTGTCAATAAAATGTGATAATCAAGCAGGCAATGATCTAGTTCAGTTTTTTACCACTGTATTCTCAGTACCTAGAACATGACCTGCCACATAGCATATGCTCAATAAATACTGTTAAATGAAGTGAAATGTTTCCATAGAATCTTTACCCTACACATTTTGCACATTGTATTTGTGTGATCTACTTAAAAATATATGATTTAAAAGATAATATTCCATTTCTATAAAACAGACTTATTTGGCTCTTACATAGTCTTGAAAAAAAATAAACTTGAGGACTATTAATTAATTCATACCTAAAATTTTCAAAAATTATTTTAATGATGAATATAAAATTTTACCTGAGGACAGTATTAAAAGCAGGTAATCTGGTTGACAGGAACTCAAGTCTGTTGATACCCTTTCAGTCTCATTATGGGTCCAGACTGAGTTTTTGTTGATTTCTTTAAATCTTTGCACTTAAGCTGGAAATGTTTAATTGGCAGATACAGCCTAACATCTAACACTTCCAAAAGAATATAACTGTCTCCATCCAGTTTCTCCTACTCTTAACTCCAAGGAGCCTACGTGGCTCCCTGTTGTTAAGATATGCTACATAGCTTAGCAACATGGTAACATTCCTTGGGAAATCTAAGTTCCAGAACCTCTTCACCCACTATTCTTCACAGATCTCCAGTTACCCACAATTTGACAAAACCAGGTAGCAGCAAGTGGCTTTTCTCAATTTGGAACAAATGATAGGATCACATCAAATTAAAGAGAAAGAGAAAGAAGAAAGAGAAAAGGAAGCAATATAAATCAAATTGACAATTCTTTCCACCGTTGTTCCTAAAGAACATTTACTTTGTGACATAATCAAACTTAGTGCAATCAAGAACCTATGGGAAGAAGGTGTGAGTGATTTTGCAATCATTTGTGAATAAAACCACTATTCTGATCATCCAGGTGTGCCTTTAATGCTCTGAAAAAAATATTAAACTGTTAATTAAAGGCCATAGAGAAACATACACACATATGTTTATGTATATGTATATTTTGCTGTCAAGTTTGTATTTACTGGTGCTTTCCACTTTACTTTTCACAATATACATGATTTTGAATTTCTGAATTACAGTATCTCAAAGCAATATAGTAATTTTAGAAAAGCAAAAGTACTAACTTAAAGCAATGAAGATATAAATCCTAATTTGACGACTTTCTTGACTGACCCCAAGAATTAAAGACTTAATTGTCTTTGCCCATTCATGACTTACGTCTTACTGCATTACTATATTGTATGGGGAGTTAGTTTGTTTTTTAAGGTAAGATATTTTGAGATTTTTTTTTTTTTTTTGAGTTGGAGTCTCACTCTGTCGCCCAGACTGGAGTCCAGTGGCCGCTCCTGGCCACCGCAACCTCGACCTGCTGGGTTCCGGCGATCCTTCTGCCTCAGCCTTCCGAGTAGCCGGAATTACAGGCATGCGCTACCACGCCCGGCTGATTTTTTATTTATTGTAGAGATGAGGTCTCGCCAAGTTGCCCAGGCGGATCTTGAACCTGCGGGCTCAGGCAATCCACTCACCTAAACCTCCCAAGGCGAGGGATTACAGGCTGAGCCACTGAGCTCGGCCGATATTTTGAGATTTTAATTGTACGCTTTGTATCAGTTAGGGAAGGTTTTACCTAACTAATAAAGCTAATAACAGACCAGTAAAAGTGCTTTCAGCAAAATAGACATGTATTAATATTTCTCCCTCACATGAAAGACTTCAGAAGCCCCATGGTGCCATTATGGATCTCAGCTTGTTCTGTGTTTTAGGCTCATTTTTCTTAATATTTGACTTCCATTTTTGAAGTTATTTCTTGTCCAAGTCGATTCCCAAATGTCCATTCATCCAAGGTAGTTATTATATGAGTACACGTCAAATCCACACTCCAAGCAGGAAACAAGAGGGAATGGGAATGGGAGAGAGAAGAGGAGGAAATGGATGAGTGAGAAGGGCAAATGCTAGCTAGTTATCTGCTTTTGTAAGAGCCTTTTCATGAGGCACAGTCAATAATTTAGATTCATTGACTACGTGTAGCTGTGAGGGAGGTTAGAAAATGCAACCTCTTAACAGAGCATGTTGCCACCCTGTTCTAAAATAGTAACTATAACAAACGAGAAAGAAAGTGTATATTGAGTGGTATGTCTTCCTTTAGAGAGGGCCCTTAAACAGAAATACGTGCCTGGCTATGCAACTATGCTTCTGTTGTATTTCTTTATCAAAGACACATGGGAACTTTTTTTTGATCTCATTACTAGGAAAAAAATGATACAGCTGTCTTGTGTACACTAATTCTGTCAGAATCAAGCAAATAGAGGTTGTTCTGCTGTACTGCTCAAGGTAGCATATGTATCCTTGATGCATTGGATACTCTTATTTTTAGCAAACATAGAACATAGATGGAGAGTTTTTTGGAATATGTGCATATATTTATGAATGGCAATTAGTGATTTTTTAAAAATTGTCTGGAGAAATCATAAGCAGGAAATGCCGTAAGTAGTTCACTGTCCACAGATATTCTGAGAATTGTATGGACTGAGTTGTATCCTCTTTCCTCAAATTTATGTCTTAACTCCTAACCTCCAATGTGTCTGTATTTGGAGATAAAGCTTTCAAAGTGGTGATTAAGGTTAAATGAGGTAATAATATTGGGACCCTAATCCAATAGGTCTGGTGTCCTTACAACATGAGGAAGAGACACCAGATCCCCCTCTCTTTGCATGCACAGGCCATGTGAGGACACAGCAAGAAGGTGTCATCTATGACCAGAAAGTGGGCCCTCACCAGATACTGAATCTGCTGGTGCCTTGATCTTGGACTTCCTAGCTTCCAAAATTGTGAGAAATAAATTTCTGTTGTTTATAAGTCAATCGGTCTAAGGTATTTTGTTACAGCAGTCCAAATGAACTAAGACCTCACCAGAAACCAGCCCTGCTAGCACGTTGATCTTGGACTTTCAGCCACCCACTCTATTGTATTCAATAATGGCAGTCTGAGCTGAATAATACAAGTATAAATATGCAGGATACTCTGTTAGGTCTATTTTTCAGTGCATAAGCAGTATGGCTACATCTCAGAGTTGTGAACCAGTTTGGCCTATTCATTTTGATTACTTAAAAATTCTCAAAACATTTATTATAAAAATGCCACCAGTGTCTGATTAACATATAAGAAGGCAATGTAAATCATTTGTAAAAGGAAAAAATGCTAATTTAACATACTGTAATAATACAATTTAACTTCATCTGGTATCCTGCCTGATTTATACTCTGTTCTGTCAATTTTGAAAGCGTATGGTTCAGTCTTGAAATTGCAGCAAATATCTGCAGTCACAGAAAATAGTACTTTTCATTCTCTGATCTCCAGAGCACAACATAAGTGCAGATGTAAATGTTATACAAAGAATTCTACAATGGCCTCCAGGATTTCTTCCCCCTGATGTATATACTCTGTATAATCCCCTTCCCTTGAGTGTAAGAGGATAGTGAATTTGAAGAATGCCACTCCTGTGATTAGGCTACATTTTATGGCAAAGATTAAGAGACTGAAGATATAATTAAAGTTCCTATTCAGAATAACTTTGAGTTTATCAAGGTCTATTAACCAAAAGGAGATTATTTGAGGGTGGCCTGACCTAAACAGGCAAGCACTTTAAAAGAAGATTTAGGCCTTCCCCAAAATCAAAAATATTCCTCTGCTGATGCTAAAGAAGCAAGCAGTCATGAATTCTATGGTTTCAAGGAAGTGAATCTGCCAACAACCATGAAAGCTTGGAAGAGGACTCCAAAATAAGATCTAAGTCCCCACAGATATCTTGATTGCAGTCCTATGAAAGTTCTTACCCAATTCTGACCAGGCTCAGTGGCTTAGCCTGTAATCCCAGTGAGTAGATTGCCTGAGCCCTTGGGTTCAAGACCAGCCTGGGCAATTTGGGGAGACCTCGTCTCTACAATAAATCAAAAAGTAGCCAGGTGTGGTAATAGCAGGCCTGTAGTTCCAGCTACTTGGAAGGCTGAGGCGGAAGGATTGCTGGAGCCCAGCAGGTCAATGCTGAGGTGGTCTTGAGTGTGCCACTGCACTCCAGCCTGGGTGACAGAGTGAGACTCCAACTCAAAAAAAAAAGAGTTCTTACCCAGTTATTTCCCAAAGACTTTCCCCGTTTAGTTATACATTCCTCTAAGGATATGAGTAACTTAAAACTTCAAAGCAAAATTATAAAGAATCTCTTTGGATGGGAGTGGTTGCTCACGCCTATAATCCCAACACTTTGGGAGGCTGAGGTGAGAGGGGTTTCGAGACCAGCCTGAACAACTTGGTGAGACCTTATCTCTACAATAAATTTTTAAAAGATTAGCCGGGCATGGTGGCACATACCTGTAGTTCCAGCTACTTGGAAGGCTGAGGTGGAAGGATTGCCTGAGCCCAGCAGTTCAAGGTTGTGGTGATGGTGAGCATGCCACTGCACTCTAGCCTGGATGACAGATGGAGACTCCAACTCAAAAAATAAAAAATAAAAAAAAAAATCTCTTCTTCTCAAAAATGATGAATATCACTTTCAGTGTTCCTTTCATGGGTTAGAGTCTGGGTTCACATTGGATTGATAGAAAATATAAAGTTGCTTGTGAAGAGAGCACTGTAGCAAAATCTATAGTCCAGTTGTTTACCCTGTTATTGTCCATTCTTAATCAACTCATAAGATCATCTTAGAGCCTCCTCTTGGCAGGTTTAGGAGTCCTGTGGCTTTGTAACACATTCCATTTGATAAAATTGATTTCTCTGGTCTTCTCAGGAAATATACGATCAGGTGAGTTAAGACTATCTCTGGAGTCTCTTCTGGCACTATAATTTGATTCTGTTTTCTTCTGAGAGGTAGAAGAATATTATTTCCAGACATAAAACAAAATTTAAAAAACACAACAAAACCATCTTTAAAATCTATAATTCCTGGTTAGCAAAAGATAATAGAATGGGAAGTCTTAGCCTTTATATCCTTACAGAAACATTAACTTATAGAGCAAGATGATATATAGAGCAAAATACCTTTATGGGTATTTCAGATTGCAGTTAGGAAGTTGACGAATGTCAGATAAGCAAAAAACTGAAATCAGCTATGTTGAAACAGGTAAGAAGAACAATTTGACTTTACTTGCATCCACCTTCTCCCAAGTTGGCACAGCTCTTAGCCAAGAGAAATTGCCCCAGCCTGTGATTGTCCTATAATGGAGAAAGATAGACTGGAACATACATCCAACATTCCTGGCATCTTGGCACAGTGCCCAAGGGAACACTTTCTGTCCTGCCTCACTTAGAGCACTGAGGAAAACAACACAGTTTAAAATCCTAGAGTGAGTGGAGAACAAAAGAAAGAGGTGGACAGGCCACTGCAGGTGGTGCAACTCTGCAAGACTGGAAAAAGGTACATAACCCTTAGACTTCTTCCTTAGGAGGAAAAGAGAGAAATGAAGCATAAATATATACAGGAAAAATTGAGAGATTCCTAGAACCTCTAGCCAGGTTGATTGGTGAAGTACTGTCCATGTTAAACCCAGGCTGTAAAGACTGGGAGAGGTGAATGTCTCTTT